GATGCATGATAAATAATAAATACGAATACAGTTATCAATTTAAATACAATGATTAAGAAAAAGAGGAATGTGTTCAGAGTATACAACTAATTCGAGACATTAGAAAGGAAATAATATAAAATTAAATGAAAAAGGAAATGGGTCCTACATCGAGAGGACTCGAAGATGTCGATGCGGAAGTGCCGTGATGTCGGGATCGTATGTCTCGATTCTAAATCCTGAGGAGGCGCAAAACAAATATGAATGGACCAAGTTGATATATACATATATATAATACCGAAACAGTTATCAACATACTAACCCCCAAAGTTTAATGAAAACTAATAGTATAATAGGTGATAGATTTGCTGAAAACCCTAGCATGCCATAAAACCTTTCATAAAACATATCTTGTATATAATGTGCTAACTAGTGGTATCCTAGTCACTCGTGGTGTTCAATAATTATATCTCTCGGTCCGTAGCCAACTACCATGTCTTTCGTTTCTTTTTGTGGTCTTATGCAAAACCTGGTCAGAAGTCCCTTTTTTTAATTTGTATTTACTCGTGGATATATTCATTTAATCAGCTCTATATATCCGCGTCTAGAAGACTTTGAAATTTCGGTAGAAATAAAATTCTCTGCCTACTAATAAAGTATTTTGAGCTATCATGCATTAAGTAGAGAGCTTAACACTATCACTATCACCTTATCCACTGGCTCCAACTTGATTAAACTTCTGATTTCTTGCGCCAATAACATTACAGCGTTCACTATCACCTTATCCACTGGCTCCAACTTGATTAAACTTCTGATTTCTTGCGCCAATAGCATTACAACGTTAACTGCATTTAGCTTGAGGAAAAGTAAACGGGTCCATGTGCATGCAACGCGTTAATAACAAAGCAAGATGGCCTACTGGTTTGGTACCACTCGAGCCGACGAGCACTATAAATTTGACACTCCCTAACCAAATAATCCACAACACCATCTGCTGCAGGAGCTGCATACAACTCTTTCACATATCAAAACAAATTAAATTCTCATTGCTCATCAACATTACTGTTAAAAGATGAAGATAGAAGTAATTGAGAAAGCTTGCATTAAGCCTTTTATGCCAACCCCACCCCACCTTCATAAACAAGAGTTTTCTTTTCTCGACCAAATCGCAACTCCTATTTTCATGCCTATGATCATTTTCTACAATAATGATCATGGCAATGATGCCATAACATACTCAGACAGGGTAAAACAATCCTTATCTAAGACCTGACACAATATTATCCTATGACCGGACGTGTCATTGAAAATGCCTACATCGATTGCAATGACCAAGGTACCCCTTATGTCCAAGCCCGAGTTAGGTCCCCATTTTCTGATGTCATATCCCAATCCGACCCAAACCAGCTCAACCAACCACTCCCATGCGAACTAGACAATGTCGGTGACTTGGTTCTTGCTGTCCAAGTCAATGTGTTCGATTGTGGTGGCATGGCTATTGGAGTTTGCAACATTAAAAATAGGCAACTTCATGTCTCTTAGCTTGAAGCCAGAAATTATTTCTCTAGGCCAGAAGCCAACTTTATGTCTCTTGGCCCGAAGCCAGAGATTATTTCTCCCAGCCCGAAGCCAACTCCTATCTTCACCTATAGGCAAAACAGTGACCACTAGATACGCACAAAAACATTGAATATACACTTTCCAAACATAGGCACATATATCTAAAAAACATCTCCATAGCATATAGTCATCCATCATATATATTATAAAGAAGTGTGTAAAAACATGTTCGTAAGTAGTATATAGTCATCCATCATATATACTACAAAGAACATTAGTTCGTTAAAATATGGTATTCCAAAATATTCTCAGTAAGCATAATATCTCATAAAACCTAGTCATTAAATCATGCTTTTCATGTATGCATTTCTACTATTAAAACATGTATTTTAGAAGGGGTCCACTCATAGTTACTTCGCCGTTGAAGGGTCAAGTAAACTAACGAAGAGCATATATGCACCTAAGCACATAAAATGTCCAATTAACAAAACTATATACTCAAACGATCAAATTTGGGAAAATAGATATCAAAAATGGATTCAATACATCAAAATTAGCCTAGGAAGGGCCTTGATCGAAACCCAAAAAAGTCAACAAAAAGTCAACGTTGATCGTTGACAAGTCAAAGTCAACAGGTTAAAGTCAAAGTCAAAAGTCAATGGATCAGGTCAAAGTCAACAGGTCGGGTTAATCGGGTCGAGTCAACCGGTTCAGTGGGTTGGATCCTGGTTGGGCTTGAGCTTTGGGCTTGGGTCCAAAGGGTTTGGGTTTTGGGGTTAACAGGCCTAAGGCCTGAGTTCTATACGGCCCAAAGGCCTAATTTCAAAAAGGTTTTAGGTTAAGGAGTCTAGGTTAGGTCTTAAATAGAATTGGGTTTAAGGTTTTGGGCTTAAGGCCTGGCCTAAAGATTTGGGCCAAAGGCCCGTGCCAACTCAGCTCGTAGGCTTGATAGAGGTTTAGGTTTAACAAGGTTGGGCTAAAAAGGGCTTGAATCCTCTGTTCTGGTTAGGTTTTCAGGCTTGGCCTGTTCTCGTACGGGAAGAAGGCCAGAGCCTTCCTAGCTCCGATCGACGGCAAACAAAAAACCTAGGGTACTAAGTAGCTACCAAATTGAAAAGTGAGACGGCGGGAAGCGATTGGTACCTGAGATTCGTCGTGAGGTGGCTGAAAAGTGACTTGAATTCTGCTGGAAACTGGGAATTCTTCCCAAGCCAATTCTATGTTCTAAAGCAGTCCAAAATACACAAACAAGCTCAAGAAACGAAACCACGAAGACGAAAGTACAAGTTTTAGGGTATTCTCGAGGCATACCTAAGTCGGAGGGACGAGGAACTCACCGGAAAAACTATTTGGGTGGTCTCGCTCCTTGTACTCGCAGAGGGAGAAGAGGAACGAGGGAAGCCCGATGGTGGTATGGTCAACGGAGAGTGACCCACGGTGGTGGTAAAAGTGGTTTTTGAGGGTTGCCTTGAGCCTCAAAAACCTTAAGGCTGTGAGAATGTGCAGGTAAAAAAGTCTCACATTGGTGAAAGAAGAAACCTTGCAAGAGGTTGGACTACTCCTCATATTGCCAATTGCTTTTATGATAGAACCTAACTTTCTTCATGGTATTAGAGCAGGTTAGCCCACGTGTCCACGTCATCCACTTCGTATTATCTACATGTTTAGCTTGAAAATTCGTCACACATGAGGGTGCGTATGAGAATATGAGGGTAAAAAAGTCTCACAATGCTGATAGGAGAAATCTTGTAAGAGCTTATAAAATGTTAGCCTACTCTCCATTTTGCCAATTAGTTTTACGATTGAAACCTCAACTTTCTTTAAGTCCAGCCTTAAACACATACAATGTCTGTTCTTTTCCCGACATGAAATTCTTACTCCCAACACTCATTACTCACTTTCCAACAATCTTAACAAGCATATATATTCTTACATGATGGTGATCGGCACAAATCACAACCCAATGCATAGCTAACACCTGTCATTAAGAGTGTCACAGGAGCAGACATATTGGCTTCTCAAATTACACATCGAATTTGCTGCACCGGGAAGTATTATAACCACTTAATTATGGTAAAGATAAGTTGATTTTCACGATTCTGCAGAGTCTAAAAGAGGAGATCAGGAACCTCCCGACCCACTTTTGTTGGCAATTTTTGTGCTTTTCCCCACATTGGCCGGTGATTGTAAGAGCCATTTATGACGGTGATCAATAAAGTCCACCATAAGTGACAAACAATGCATTACTGCGTGAAGGAAGTGAAAAAAAAAAAAGGCGCGTGAAGTTTTTATCTTTCAAAAAAATTTACTTGAAAACAATTTTGTGATCTTTATCTTTCAAAAAAATGTTTATGATTTTATTCTTTTGGTCGTGATCTACAGTGTGCAATGCCTTCTTAATTTTACACAAGATAGGTGTAAAGAAAAAGTAACTTAACTTAGATTATTGAAAATTAGAAGATAGGCAACTGTTAAATTCGGATAACTACCCAATATATAGAGGTGATTCCAAATTGATCCTAACTTTTTAAAACATTCAAACTAACTATTTAAAGCCTTAAAAAATGAATGTATGTTATCATTAGCGTTAAGTGATGACATGAACAAATATTAAAGCGTGTTTTAACTCTTAATACATCAATAGAGTTTTGAATCTCCAAATCGTCGCATTTTAGCTGGCAAATTTATGGTTAACATGGCTAAAAGGGGTCAATTTGGATGACCTAATTTTTAAAACGTTAGATAGTTATTTAAAAGGGAGTTTTAACGACAAGCCCATGGTACTGTTCACTTTAACGAAAAACCACATTTTTACACTAAAAAGTCAATCCTGGTACTATTCACTTTATCCTTTAGGTTGTCCTTATCGTTAAAACTCAAAGCTTTCAAATCACTTTCATTAGTTTTTTTTATTTAAAATATTTTAAAAACTTGAGACCAATTAAAAAATACTCCAAAAAATTGGTTAGTTATCCGTATTTAACCCAAATATATATTATGATGATTGTTTGAAGTGGAAAGCTGTCTAAGCTACGATGTAAGCATCACGAACTCACATTAAAAACTACAAGGCTTTCGACTTTATGATTTTAATATAGAGACAAAATCAAACTTTCCTGCTAAATGGGATTTTGGGTCTAGCAAAAGCTTATATGCATAGATGAAATTCAAAGTCTAAGCCAACAATTCTGTCTCGACATTCCTACTGACACCCAAAAAGCACGCACAATCAAATAATACTTGGACATTCTCCCGGTATTAGTTGAACTACTTTCTTTTTGGCCGGCTAATTAATATTGAGCCAGAAAATCAACAACAAAAACCACACTGGCTATATATGAACACAATCGCATAAGCAACAATCCGTATTCGTCTTTACTCCTCCTCCCTCTCCCTATATGTATACGAGTAAATACACGTAGGACCATGCATACCATCAACATAAATTAGCTCCAAACTTCTTGCTACTAAATAAAACATTCGAGCTGATTAATTAGGAGATGGGAAGATCAATGAAGGTCCAGGTTGAAGTTATCTCCAATGAGATAATCAAACCATCTTCTCCAACTCCTGGCCACCTTCGTCATTACCAATTCTCCTTTCTTGATCAAATAGCTCCCCAAGTCTACAACCCTTTACTCCTCTTCTATGAATACAATGCCATGACACATCTCAATATCACTGAAATATCCAACCACCTTAAGAACTCGTTATCCAAGGTCCTATCCCTATTCTACCCGCTAGCGGGTCGAATCAAACACAACCACTTCATACATTGCAATGACGAGGGCATCCCCTACGTCGAGGCTCGAGTGCTGAATTGCACTCTCTCTGATGTTCTCAGCAATCCCAACCCTGGTGAACTTAACAAGTTCATGCCATTTGAACTTGATGATATTACCAATCCATTACCCTATGGGGTCCAGCTCAACATATTTCAGTGTGGAGGGTTTGCTATTGGCCAATGCATTTCTCACAAGATTGCTGATGGGTTGTCCTATTTCACGTTCAGCAAAATTTGGGCAGCCATCGCCCGTGGGGAACAAGCCAACATAGACCCCCCACAATTTGTGTCAGCCACACTCTTCCCACCAAAGGAGTTCAATATTGGATTCGATGGAGGCATTGGAATCACAAAAGATAGAGTGATAAAGAGGTTCGTGTTCAATGCCTCTAAAATAGAGACCCTCCAAGCAAAATATGAAAAAGATATGAAAAGCCTCCAACTAAAACACCCCACGCGTGTTGAGACCTTATCCGCTTTCATATGGAGTCGATATGTGGCGGCTACAAGGGATTGTACCGTGAATAAGTTGTACATGGTGATCCATGCAGTGAACCTACGTCCGCGGTTTAGTCCACCATTGCCTCAACATTCTTTTGGGAATCTTTTTCGTGTTGCCATGACATCACCGCTACGAATCAGTAATGGCGGGGAGGAAGAATGTGATGGGATGGTGATTGGGGAGGTGCGAGAAGCGATAAGCAAGATTGACAATGAGTACGTGAAGCAATTACAAAGGCAGGGTGATGAGCACTTGGGTTTGATGAAGAAAGCTGCTGATAGTTTCAAGAGAGGAGACATGGTTGCGGTACTTAGCTTCAGTAGTTATTGTAGGTTTCCTCTCTATGAGAATGACTTTGGTTGGGGTAAACCTGCGTGGGTGGGATCACCGGCACTGACCTATAAGAACGTAGTGCTTTTCATGGACACCAAGGAGGGTGATGGAATAGAGGCATATGTTAGCTTGGAGGAGAGAGTCATGGCCAAATTCGAATGTGATACCGAGTTGCTCTCTTATGTTTCTCCAGCCGGTCGGGTCCTGCTGAGCTGTGGACATTAATTTCACTATGTTTGTGTTATGTGTAACAAATAATGTTACCCTCATACAACTGTTCCCCACTATCCTCCCACCCTTTGTGTCTCACACAACTGTTCTCATCTATCCTCCCACTCTTCCACCCATAATACTCTTGCTAGATGCTTGCTTTTGAATGAGAAGCCTTATTTGACCACTATATTTGTTACCTGCCTCAAGAGTGAGTCATCGTTCAATCAGAGTAGGGTGTGCAAAACCACTTTGGTGGTTTCGGTCTCTACGTTGCCTTTTTCTACGGTTTTGATGGTGCTTTGTCTACTTGTTTTGTTAGTATCAAAATTCTTTGTTTGTTGGTCCTCGGGTGGTGGACATGGTTGCTGGTGTTGTTTGTTCTTTTTGTTGGCTGAGTGTTTTTGGAGCAAATTTATGTATTGTTTGTGGATCTTTGATGTTGTGAAATTAGTGATATTTGGTTTGTTTTTCATTTCGGGTAGCTTTGTATCTTTGTTTTTGTTTAGGGGCGTTCGTTTTTTGTTGGCACCAATGGCGAATCAGTTGACCGGACCGATGGAATGGCGAGGTGTTTGGTAGTTGTGGCGTTGATGGCTTCTATCAACAAATTGAGTCTAATTCAGTCATCATGTGCTTTATTTGGGCTTTTATGTCCTCTCAGCCTGCTTTCAGCTTGTTTTTATATTTATCACTTGTATTGTGTGTACAACAGATTTCTGAATGATTCATTTTCTATTAATGTCACCAATATATATAGAGAGAATTACACATGTTCGACACATCCTTTGATTTGAGTATGTCTTTTGACCATGGGATACAACACATTGCAGCAGTATGTCCAATGGGTATATTTGATACAAAACACCTCTTACCCAAAGGATCATGAAACATGTCTTTTCGGCAACAATCAAAAGATGCATGTTAAAATTGAAGAGATGTGCTTTTGGGTCAATAACCCAATCCCATCCCCTGTCAGTCAAACAGCTGCATATATATATATAATATTTTTAAAATATTCAACAATCCTTCCCTATTTTAAGAATATATAGAAAATGATATTACAATAATTCTCTCTTTATAATTAATCACAAGCATATCGATATAATCATGCATACAATAAAGGTGTCTTTCGAATTAAACCTTTAATTAGTGTAAGTAATTCAAAGTTATAACGAATGTGATGGTGACCTAAATTCAAATCAACTGTTCTTATGTTAAAACCGGAATTGCTACACACATGATTATGTCTTATTTCCTTAAAGAAATTGCTAAACTAATTAAGCACTATTATGGCCTTGTGCTTCATCCTGGTTTCATAAACATTTATAAGAGAAAACCCAACTCTTGGTAGAAACCACTTCTTATGTTCATATAGGTGAGGTTCCTTCCCATGTCCCTGCTACTATAGACATAACTACAAATAACCTCATTAACAGATAAAACTCATCCTCTTAAACGTAGCAGTCTTGCACTGATCATCCTGGAATGAGCTATATATTAATTTTCAGTGCTTTCACAACCACTTAACAATAACTTGTTATTACCCATTAAACTTTTAAACTAGTGATGTTCTAGACAAAGTTGGGTTACCGTTATTGGTGGCTAATTTTCAGTAAAGGGTTTTAACCTCATTCCACTAGATGTACTAACTACCAAAGCTCTTGAAAGTGCTTTCGTTAACGGATTCGCCAAGTTATTACTTGATTTAACATAAATAATATTAATAACTCCATCGGTTATTAATTGATTGACACATTCATGTCTCAAGCTAATATGTCTAGACTTTCCATTGTATACATTATTGTATGCTCTAGACAAAGTAGCCTCACTATCACAGTATAAATAAATGGATGGCATTGGTTGTGGCCACAACTCTATTTCCAATAACAAATTTCTAATCCATTCTGCTTCTTTACCTATTGCTGCTAATGCAATAAATTCAGATTCCATAGTTGAATGTGATAGTACATGTTTGCTTCTTTGAAGCCCAAGATATTGCTCCTCCGGCAATTGTAAAAATCCACCCTGATGTAGACTTATTATGATTAGCACTTGTTATCCAACTTGCATCTGACTAACCTTCAAGTACTGTTGGAAACTCAGAGTAAGTTAAACTCAGGTTAATAGTTCTTTTAAGATAACCAAAAATTCTATTTATTGCTTTCCAATGAGCAGTACATGGATGACTAGTGTATCTAGAAAGTTTGCTTACTGCAAATGCGATATCTGGTTTGGTACAATGCATGGCATACATTAAACTTTCAATTACACTAGCATACTCAAGCTGTGCAACAGACCTACCATAATTATTAAGCAAAGTTTCACTAGGGTCATAAGGGGTATTTGCTTCTTTTATTTGTAGATGCTTAAACTTAAGAATCAATTTTTCTATATAATGTGACTGACATAAAGTGTAACCCCTACTATGCTTCTTTACTTTAATTCCCAAGATAGTATCTACTTCATTCAAGTCCTTCATCTTAAATTTTGAATTTAGATACTCTTTAGTTTCAGATACACCTTTCATGTTGGTACCAAAAATTAGCAAATCATCGACATATAAACATATAACAACACCATAATCATTTGTGAATTTAGAGTATATGCATTTATCAACACTGTTATGTCTAAATCCATATGATAAATGACAAAATCAAACTTTTCATGCCATTGTTTTGGTGCTTACTTCAATCCATATAACAACTTTACTAATTTACAAACCTTCTTTTCATTCCCAAGGAGAACAAACCCTTTTGGTTGTTCCATATAGACTTCTTCATGTAAATCACCATTTAAAAAAGTCATTTTCACATCCATTTGATGCACATGCAAATAATATAAAGATGCCAATGCAAACAATATTCTAATTGATGTGAGCCTAGCTACTGGAGCATAAGTATCAAAATAATCTATTCCCTGTTTTTGCTTAAAACCTTTGGCAACCAGCCTGGCTTTAAATGTCTGAATAGACCCGTCTGTATTGTATTTTCTTCTAAATACCCACTTACAACCTATTGCTTTTGATCCTTGGGGCAAGTCTACCAAAACCCATGTCTAATTAGACATTAATGATTCAAATTCATCATCTATAACCTCTTTCCAAAAGGCTGCATCTCTTGAAGTCAATGCTTTGCTTAGACTTTTAGGATCATCCTCAACATTCAACAATATGGGTATTTTCTTAAGAACCCTTGTTCTATTTCCTTCAACTAAAAATACAATAGATTGAGATGAAATAAAATCAGAGCCTAGAGTCTTTTCTTTTCTTACCCTTTGGCTTTTCCTTGGTTCATTAACAGTTTCAGACTGTTTTCTTTTCTCATCTTGAGAATGACTAGTAGACGGATTAGAGAAAGGTGTCTGCTCATTCTCTTTTCCAGACACTAAGTAATCGTTATAAAATTTATTTTCTATAAATTTGACATCTCTAGACTCAACTATTGTATTTGAGTCTAAATTAAGCAACCTATATGCCCTTGAATTTTCTGCATATGCTACAAATATGCGTTTAATTCCTTTTGGACCCAACTCGGATCTCTTAGGATCGAGTGCCTTATAAAAAGCTACACAGCCTCATACTCTCAAATATGACAAATTTGGTTTTCTTCCTTTCCAAATTTCATATGGTGACACATGTGTCTTTGTAGTAAACAATGTTTCACCCCATAAATATTTTGGAGTATTAGCATTAATCAACATAGAATTAATCATTTTAGTGAGTGTCCTATTTTTTTCTTTTTACCAAACCATTTTGTTGAGGTGTATAGGGTGCAGATCTTGGATGTATAACACCATGCTCTTCACAAAAAATATCAAATTCACATGAAAAATATCCACCACCTCTATCCCTGCGAAGGCATTTAATTTTCCTTCTATTTTGGTTTTCAACTTCAGCTTTATAGTGCTTAAAACACTCAAAAGCTTCATCTTTATTAGACAATAAATAAACATAAGTGAACTTAGAACAATCATCTATAAATATGATAAAATATCTTTTTCCTCCTCTTGTTAAAATATCATTGAATTCACATATGTCAGAATGTATTAATCTAATAAATTTGTATTTCTTTCGGCAATTGAAAAATATTTCTTAGTCATTTTCGTTTGAATACATGTTTCACATTTATTGTCACATCCCGACCCGGGGCGGATCACTTCCCGGGCCCGCTCCACCACCGTAGCACGATATTGTCCGCTTTGGGCTTACCAGTCCCTCACGGTTTTGTTTTTGGGAACTCACGAGCAACTTCCCAGTGGGTCACCCATCATAGGATTGCTCTAGCCCCCTTCTCGCTTAACTTTGGAGTTCCTACGGAACCCGAAGCCAGTGAGCTCCCAAAATGCCTCGTGCTAGATAGGGATGAGAATATACATATAAGGATCACTCCCCTGGGCGATGTGGGATGTCACAATCCACCCCCCTTAGGGGCCCGACGTCCTCGTCAGCACACACGCGACCAGGGTTAGGCTCTGATACCAAATTGTCACATCCCGGCCCGGGGCGGACTACTTCTCGGGCCCGCTCCACCACCGTAGCACGATATTGTTCGCTTTGGGCTTACCATTCCCTCACGGTTTTGTTTTTGGGAACTCACGAGCAACTTCCTAGTGGGTCACCCATCCTGGGAGTGCTCTCGCGCGCTACTCGCTTAACTTCGGAGTTCCCATGGAACCCGAAGCCAGTGAGCTCCCAAAAAGCCTCGTGCTAGGTAGGGATGAGAATATACATATAAGGATCACTCCCCTGGGCGATGTGGGATGTCACATTTATCATTATAATCATCATTGCAAGCAATTAAACTAAATGTGCGCATGTATTTTGAAGATCTAAAATTTATATGTACTAAACGCCATAAATGAGAGGAAGATTCAACAATATAAGCAGAAAAATTCACTTTATTATTAATACTTAGTTTGAACATCCCATCACAAGAATACCCCTTCCCAACAAACATCTCATTTTTTGACATTATTAACTTGTCAAACTCTAGAACAGTCTTTATACCGTTATTCCATAGTAAATTTGCA